GAGAGTCCATACGTGATTGGCAAGTAACCCCCTCTTTCCATAAGCAGCAGATGAAAAAGATCCACGTCAGAAAGTATGCAGTAGAGACCATAGCACACAGGGGGGAAAGCTAACTCTTCAAGGACCGAGCCGAGAGCCTTACCTAGCTCTCTATGCATACATACATACATACATACATACATACATACATACATACATATGGACGTACGTACGTACTACATACGTACATGTACATTGTACAACATATACATGCTGTGGGTTTGAGTATATATACACACCTACATGCATAAATATGTATCCCTGACCCAATGGACGTCGCCTTTGTTTGCTTTGCCCGCACGCGGCAGGGGTGGCCGTTCCTGACGAGAAACCACAGGCTGGCATGCTTAGCCTGGTCCGATGACATTCCCTTCTGCGTGGACCTCGGTGAGAGCTGAACTCTGTGCCCGTGTTGGAGCTCTTGTCAGTGGATCACCTGCGCCGAACAGCAGAGGTCGGACAGATTACATCATTGTCCCATGGCAGCGGCTCTCTGCCCGCCTTCGTAAGCAGCATCCTGCGTTGCCGAACATGAATGCGCGTGCACTTTGTGCATACCATATGTTTGCTCAACGGTGGTGCAGGTGAGAACGACAGAGCCAGCGTTTGCCGCTCGGGGCAAATACTCTGACTTCTGTGACTCCTCAACAACTGAACAATCACATCCTCCGATTGCTTCGAGCACCATCCCAGTGTGCGAATGCTGTGTGAACATTTTGGCACCATCTAAATCAGCTACTTCTTACCTCCGACTTAAAGCCTCGCGCTTCACGTCCCGGAGGCTGGAGGGTTTCACATACTGTATGTTGCTCGCGATTCGGCTGGGCAACACTAACCCCCACAAGCATCATGAAGCAGCATGAATGTGTTGGTCCAACTGGCCCGAGCACTTACACGGGGCCATCCAACACTTTCACAGTGCTGCCTGTGTGCTTCGATGAAGGGGAAAGACTGCATAGCCTTATTGGGGTGACGCCCGAGTCAGAAAAAGGAGTCGAAAACGGTAGAGACCATTTCAGCAAACCTAGGGGACCGAGTCAGAAAGTGGAGAGGCCTGAGTCGGAAAACGAAAGCCCAAACCCTAAACTCTGGAGGGGGTGTCGGCAGATCCTAAACCCCTAAACCCTAAACCCCGGAGGGGGTGTCGGCAGATGTTTTCGACTCAGGGTCTCCCTGGTTTTCGACACGAGGCCGTGGCGTTTTCGACTCGGCGGGCTCGATTCGAAAGCAGATTTGCTGACTTGACAATCACTCCTGCATAGCCTGCAGGAGCCACAGACAAGCACTCGTCCTTGCTGTCTGCCCGTCGAGGCAGCCTGGATGGTGCGCTGCCTAAGCACACAAACATCGCGTCCTCACCCTTACGAGGTACCAGTACACTCTGCTAGACTGAGCCAGATGGCGAGTTGGAGGGCCAAGCGCCTTCGAAGACGAGCGATCACACAGCTGACTGACATGGATGGGCTCGCAGGCTGGAAATGGGGCTGATCCTCGGGAGGGTCATTCTCCAGCGAGTGCATCGCCCATCTATCTCGATCTTGCTTGGGACAAGAAGGATGACTGTATTCGGACCCTGCGTGCTGGCATCATATACCAGTAGGTCCCCAAGCCTCTGCTTGCGGTTCTGCGTAAGCTTTGGCTCTGCCACGGCGCAAGGGTGGCAACTCCTCGAAGCAATGCAAAAGGACGCTACCTGTCTCTGTCTGACTTTATCGTCTATCACGGTGTGTAAGAACCCACGATGAAGCACCATCTCTGAGAACAACGCTTCCCTTCTTCTGGAAGTCCGTGCACCGGCCTGACAGCTGGCATGAAAACCTAACCTGGCCAGTTCCTCCAGCTTTTGCACCAGTTGCATGGCACAGTAGCCTGCATTCAATTCAGAACAAGATACGTGAGCTGATCTCCCATCGTTGGCCTCCGGATCGCCTGCGGCCTGCAAAGGACAGGGAGGTAAAGGACGGTGATCATCATGACAGCATTGACAGCAACTTCCAACTTCGCAGACCTTGGGCTGTGCCTTGGCCCAGAGCCTTTGCTCGGCCTCCACCAGTCGCAGTGCACTCCTTTGAAAAGTGCTAAGGCCGGTTTCACTTCGTCTGTATTCTAAATCCTTGACTTAGAGTTTAGCAGTTTAGCACAGGATTAAGCAAAGGACCTGTCGGCATCTTCATCGCGTGCGACACGAGTCCTTCGAGATCTTGTTCGTCCTCGCTTGTCAACAACACCAGGACTGCAGCAAGTGTTGCATGCCAGACGTTGTTGGTATGCCTGCATGGTCAGAAGCACAACTTTTCTTGATCGCTCGGAATGCAGAACCCATCATCTCATTGTCGCAAGGCTGCAAGGGGACCTAAAACTAAATCTGGCCACTCGTCAAGCTTTGCGGCCAAGCGCTCGTCTGACTCTGCCTGAGTATCGCTCTCGCTAATATGAGAAGCACGAAAGTGCCAGGCATTTGCAAGGACAAGTTCTGTATTCCTAAAGTCAGGGCATGCCGGGACTCCCTGCCATCTTGTCAACTCGATGACCACCGACCTGCACGCCGGGAGGACATGGAATGGAACGGTGGCCGTCTAAACGCCAAACCCCGGGAGGACGGGCACCCAAGGACGCTGGATAGACAGCTCGTCGTTAGACAAAGCTCAAAGGCCTGCTTCAAGAATCAGGGGACCTGGTAAGTCGGTAATTACATATAATTGCACACTCACCTAGCAGTCCCAACACAACTCCAGTGAGAGTAGGCGCAACTGGTTATTACTACTTGTAGCAATACCGACTTACAGGCCTCCTCAAGCAGCCGCTGAGAAAAAGCAGGTCACTAAAGCTTGCACCCTCCAAACACCCTAAAAGACCGTGCAGAAGGACCCAAAAACACAAACCTGTCACCCTGCCTAAAACAAAAAACACTAACGAAAGCGCAAAACCTTAAGCCCTAAACGTCCAAGCCCCAACACTTAAAATCCCGAAAGCCTAACAACGGTTAAGTCTACATGCTCCAACGCCTAAAACTCCAAACCCTGAACACCTCTAGGCCGAAACCAAAGGCGACACTCTGCAAGCCGTAGAGCCACTGAAATCACACCCAAACACAACAAAGCCCTTCGAACCGTAACTCCTGAAGTTCTGCACCGAGGGCCTCTACGCTCTGAACCCTGACATTCAAACTTTGGGGAACCTCTTATTACGCACAAGGGTCTATCGAAGTAGGCATCTGTGCATAGGAGTGAAACGAACACACCAGGTGCCTTCCCTGCTTCCTTCCTGTCCCTCACCAACAACTTCAAAGCACACTACCTATGCTGTGTTCAGAACACGATGGGGAGGCCAGGCCTCATTGAAGCAACCAAGAGGTTTGGCCACCAGAGATATGCACAAGTCCCTTCGATGCTTTCATATGCTCTGCAACTCCACTCTTGCGCAATCGCTCCTTGCTGGGACAAGCCCTCAAGCCTCAACGCAGGCCGTACCGAACTCCAGCCACTAAGCCAGGAATGCAGGTCTTCCTTTGAGCAGACCACCCCGAAGTAGACACTGGAAGCCGTCAAGAGGAAGCCCGCTTCCCGGGGGCTTCTGCGTTGTTCTTCGGCTTGAGGCCGGGAAGATGGAAACGATTAGTTGAAAGATCTTTTGACTGTCGTAACTGGCCTGCACCGGCACGAAGATGGAGCGAGCGTCTTCACGCCTCAAAGCCTGCAAAGGAGCTGAGTACAGTCTTGAGAAGTGTCGATACGACTGAGCCCTCGGGCAATGATAGTGCCATAGCTACTCCCTGTACACAGAACATTAAAAAATGTCGAAGCCACGCACGCGGAAGCCAAGACGGAGTCTCAAAACACCTCCCGACTCTAGACAGTGTTCGGCACTCCTGCAGCAGGAGCTCATGCTCGGCGAAGGGTATCACCGCATCGTCCTGGTACACATTCTAACTAGCAACCTGCCGTAAAATGTGTCGCACTGTGAACTATCTGAAAGTGTGGAAAGGCAAGCTCAAGTGGAACGACAACGGCCACATTAAAGCATAGCCGGGCTCAGTCACGGTAACAGAGTTGAAACAAGCAGGCCCAGAAGTTTGGACGCCGGTAGTAGTTCAATTAGCACCCATGTCTCGCGAAGTGCACGCACTTGATGCCCTCTAGTACCTCTAGGTGCGCAGGAGCATGAAGGCATGGAGAGCTGATGTACAAGATTCAATGAGCAGTGGCGCGGCCTCGGCCCATGCAAGCAAAGAAGGTATACCAAGGCCTTGCAAGGCCTCTCCTTAGAAGGGCTCATGGAAGATGAAAATATACCAAAGCCAGGCACGGTCTTCTAGCAAACACGACTGACGTCAGCAAATGCCCTGAAGCCTTCTTGCCACCCCCCCCTTCTGATGCTTTTTCATTCTTCGCGGCGGACAGAAGCAGACTGTTGGATGTTTCGGCTGGCATGTCCATTGCTGTTGCCGTATATTTGACGATTCCGCCGTGGTTTGGGTGGGGTTGTGACTGTGGGAAGCTGGCGCATGGGTTGGCCTAGAGGCTGGTTTGGCTTCGGAGCTTGCCAGCGAATGTTTCCCACTGACAAAATAACGGACATCCTCCTGCAACTATCACCAGTGCAGTCGTCAACAGCTTGCCCGGTGGCTTCAGCGCGGGCTGAATGCTGGTACTGTGATTACTGCTATAAATATTCTCATTCCTACTGTCAGTATTGACGAAGCCGCCAAAACCTCCGACATCGTTAAAGTCTGTGGAGCACCAGTGACACGAACTTCGAGGAGACTCTTCAAAATGTTTGGCTTGGCTTGGCGTACTTGCCAGCCCGAACCGTGCAAACCTGAACATTGCCAAAACAGAAGATATTCCCCTTGCCAGTGTAAGCCCGCCATACAGCACCCTGTATTGCGCACTTTGATTCGATGTGGCATGTCTCCAACACGGCCTCGCACTTTTACTATTCTGAGAAGCATTACTACTCTGTTAATTAAGCAGAATTGATACCTGATACCATCATTGCTACTGCTACGGTATATCTAAGATGGCTCAAGCTCGTGGAGCAGCAGCATCACCAACAGGGGGCAGATGCAGCAATGAAAATGGTTTGGCTTGGATTTGCTTCAGCTCGCGGGAACAAGAATCCACGCAAGCCAAAAGATCGTGAAGCCAGAAACAACAGCCAGAAACCGCATCAACGCCCTAAAAGACTGCACAGAGAGAGAATCGGTGCCAAGTGCCGCACCTGGCGGGGCAGGGCACGCCAAGCAAATTCCTGAAGCAGGTCGCCTGGCAGCTGAAAGCCAATGCAAATTAGCATCCAAGCGACACTTCGACATACTACAATAGTGGCATCCCAGGCACCCATGTTCGCGAAGTTGCTGACAGAGCTCCACGGCCCGTGCCCCACCTTGAATTGCTTTTGACACAGATTTACCGCAGCAGGGCACAAGGTGAAGCATGACACCGCTTGGAGGAGCTCCCATCCGATTTACGGAAATCTACCTGTTCGAGTGACTTAGCTGACACTGCCCTTACTCTCACGTGAGCTCCGGCTTGAGCTCCGGCTCGACTCAGGAAATCACCCCAGCTTTTGCCATAGACGAAAAGTGGCGCAGGGCCTGGTCGAGAAGCAGAGAGCAGGCGTAAGCGGCGCCGGACGCCACGGCCTGTCGTCTCCTGCATCCACCCGGCAATGGCCTGCACAGCCAAAAGAGGCAACGACAGAACATTCTTCCGGCCACTCTCTGGCCTCGAGAGCCGCCACAGCATCGGCAGGACTGCCTGAAAGGGTGGGTCGTCTGACAAACACTTCTTCCCAATCTGACTGGGACCTTCCTGCCCCAGACAGAACTCTTCGAACCTAAGCCTCCACCTGTTAGTTCCCTTGCCGGAAGCGTCCACGTCTCCGGCTTCGACAGCTGCAAACAGCAAAGGAATAAGCAGCGCCTGAAGCTGGAGCCGTGGCCTCACCTGGGAAAACATCCGTCAGCGGCTCCCCAGTGAAAGAAAAAAGATTAAAATCGTCTCGCAGCACAACTCGGGAAAGGCACAAACTGCCGAAGCAGTTCTCCGGCAGTTCCAAAGTCTCAAGACGAACAACTCGGACCCGCCGAAAGGACCAGCCCAGCGCAACATGTCGCAATCAGACACAACTCAACTGACCGGCCGGTCACGGGCTTCGTTGGCTGCATGGTCAATGAAGTCTTCCGTGCTTGGTTGATGTCTACACGACAGAGGTATACCGCAAGGCAAGACAAACACCATCAAAAACCCAGGCGCAAAAAGGGGGGAGAGCCTCTGTTCATGTTGCTGTGATGTTTCTGGGGTTTCACAAGGGTCTTGGCTTCCTCGAATCGCGCTCGGATCGAAACTGCAAGGCGTGGATTGGCAAAACACGCAGTCGGGAAACCGGGCCGGAGTCCTGAATCGACCAGTTTTCTGAACCGAGACATTTGGCAATGCGGATCTTTTTGCCTCAATCGAGAAGTTTGTGTTGTCCTGACGGAAGCAGTTTCCTGAATGGCATATTGAGTTTCCTGAAAGGAGCATTCCGAAACAAACTTGAACCTTGTAATGATCCGCACTCCGCACAATGCATCATCTAAAGTCAACCGCTCCACACAGTGCTTCTGACATCCACGGCAAAGACATAACGCATTACAGCATATCGCAGCTATTCAATCCGCTGCATGCAAACAGATCAAGCAGGTTCCTGTTTGTGTAAGTTCGATCCTCAAGACGAGTACACCTTGGCCACACCGCGCCAGCAGGTGCAATAGCAGCAGTTCGTACAAGCAAGATGAGCATCAGTAGGTGTATGTAGGTGTAGAAGCTTCAGCAAAGCTGTCGGCGCATGGAGAGAGACTGTGGGATCAGGACACGATTGGATTCGGCTGCTCCAAACGACCTACTATGTCTCAATGCATCATTCAGGTTCCCACATGAGTGGAGATTGGGTAGAACTGCAGCCACCTTCCGTCGACGGAGGCCCTGGAAAACTCAAAGGGCTCCACCAGTTCGTAGCACAATCGTCCACGTGAACTCATCGCAGCTAGCTACAGCCACTGCATTTTGAACCTCATAAGAATGTGCGGCATGCCCTGCACCTCCATGAGAAATGTCCACTCGAACACCTAGCATGGGATGTAAAATGCCCAGTCTCGTGATTAGACCCGACTAAGGAGACCACAATCTCTGGTTGCGCAGACATCCCGTGAATTAAAAGCACGATCGCCGTTGCTTTCTCACCGAGTGGAACCGAGAGCTTTGCCTGGCCGAGGCACAGAAATCAAATGACCGACTGTCCACTCTCCCTCGCACCTCGATTTTGCCAACCGGAGTGTCCACATGCCACGTCTCCGCCTGTGAGCTCACACTGAAGCATGGAAGCAGCAACGAAATTCACTGCAGGATCCAGCGAGCTCTTTTTTGTACTGTGCTGTTCTTCTTAAACGATCTCCTACGGCCTACGGTCCTACAGAGTGAAACAGCTGGAAAAGCACCAACGGTGCACAAGGCCAGGATGAACTGCTCAGTCAGATTCGATACTTTCGGCACTGGCAGTGCTCGCCATGCGCAGCTTCGTCCGCGCGGCTTCATCTCCCTCCCCAAGCCACTCATACTGTGGCTCCGGCATCTCCCTGAAGCTGCCAGCGACAAAAACATGTGCAAAAAAGACAAAGGGTGCGATTGGACGCTGACAGTTGCCGCCGGCCTGGGCCAGTAGTTGAGCCAAGGTGACATGGACAGCATTGCCGGAACCACAAGCGTGCGGACTAGGAACGTGTCCTCGGCCATAACAGCAGTCATACGATGTACCAGTCAGTACTTTCAAAGGTCAGGAGATCAAAAGAAATAAATACACTGCCAAGTCTCAACCACGATGCTAAACACGAACACAAAGCCTTGCTGATTCATCATTGGCAGCTCCTCGATTGAAGCGACGGACTTCCAACTGGCGAAACAGCAAGCAACGCAAGACCTCTTCTACAGGCACGATGCAACCGTTGGACGCTTTGGCACGAAAAAAAGCCCCCGTTCTTTTGCCTTAGCCTTAGCCTTAGCCGTCCCGTTCTGCGGGCCTTCTTGCAGGCCGGGCTCAGACGTGAGGACCAAGGCCAGGAAAGTGAGACCCAGAATCAGTCCAGCAGCCGAGATGGTTCCGCCGGTTGCAGACAAACCGAGCTGAATCGACTCGCGGTCTCCAAACCCCTGCAGCCAAAGCATCCATCTCCCTTCGATTCATGTCCCTTCAAGTCCCTTGACTTTCTCTTTTCGGCTCCGGCTCCTCGCTGCGGAATTCGAAGACCCGCTCGAAGAGGAAGAAATCGTAATCAAGCGCCAGACCGATAAGGAATGTCAGGCTGAAGACCGGAACCGTCCAGTCCTCAGTTCGAACACAACGCAGGATCGCCAAACAAACTCTAAAGATGTCCCGTGCTGGGGACGGGTCCAGACCATCCCTGCTGGTGGGAGCAAGTCCTGCTCCACATGACTACATGACACCTTGCACGGAACATGCCCGACATCCGCACTTGAACGCGCTTCGGAAAAATGACTGAAATAAACGAAAACGACTCCGGAAAACACTGCAGACAAGTTCAGCAAACATGGGCGAAGATTGGCAAAACATCCCGAGTTGGATTGGGGTGGATTGGACGACCAAGAGGTCGATTTCAACCGGTGGGTGTCACAGAAAACCCGACAAAACATTTCACTTCGCCAGATTGCAGCCGCGGGGTCCCCGAAAACACACCAACACATTCACCACGAAGAGCTCCATTGCAACCGCTGGGCGCCCCACCAACAAGCTCTGGCACGAAGAAGTAGAGGTCGATCGCAAGGTGGAGAAGAGGGAAGAGAAATCAGAAAGAGGCAAGGAGAAGAAGCCGGAGAAAAGAATGGCAAAGGCAAATTCAATCCGGCACTGTCGCCCCATGGGCCGAGTCCTCAGGTTGGTGCCGCCTGTGGGGTCTTGCGTCGCGACCCTAATCAAAGGAAGAGCCGTGCAAGAACCCCGAGTGATGCAGCAAAAAGGCGACAGCTCGATCTGCTTCTTTTTTTTGTCTACCACTGCCAAGCCACTGCGGCTACTGCTGACGGCAAATTCCAAGCCTACAACAAGATATCGGCTAGAAAACCCTAAGCCCCACACCTTCAAAGGAGGCGTTGTTGGCAAAGCCCAAACCCTAAAAGATCGTGGAAAGTCTTAACCCAAAAAGGACCCTGAGCAAACCCCACACCCTTAAAAAAGAAACATGTTGGTGACTAAACCTTGACAAAACATGTTGGCGGTTAAGCCCGAAACCCGAAAAAACGGATCGGGTGGCAAAGCCCCAAGCCCATAGAAACAAAATCTTGGCTGGAAAACCCTGAACCCTAACAGATCGTGGATGGCTGACCAAAAGATGTCGATCGGCACACCAAACCCAAAAAGATCGTGACAACCCAAGCCTGAAAGAAAGTCTGGGCAAAGCCCACACCCTAAAATTTGGCCCGAAGAAAGGCAACATGCTGGCTACTAAACCTTGAAAGGATAAGTTGCTTGGTAAACCCTAAAACCCGAAAAGAATATCGCCGGAGGCAAAGCCCCAAACCTGAAGGAACAAGATTTTGGTTGGGAAACCCTGAACCTTTAACAGATTTGTGGATGGTTGCCAACGCCCAACCAGAAAGAAGACGTTGACTGGCAAACCCTAACACTAGAAGGAAATGTTGGTTGGCAAGCCGCAAACCCTAAAGTACGTTCGTGGGAAATCCCGAGCGCTAAAGAAGAAAGATCCCGGCCAAAGCCCACACCCGAAAAATAGAAACAACATGCTGACTACCAAAAACATGTTGGCTGGTAAATTTTAAGCCCGAAAAGACGATCGCAGCAAGCAAGTCCCCAAACTCGATTTTGGTTGGAACGCGCTTGAACCCTAACAGATCGTAGATGGTTGGCAGCGCCCAAGATTGGGAAACCCTAAACATTGGAAGGAGATGTTGGTGGAGTGAGAACTTGTTTTGCTTCTCTGTTTCGCCGAGCAGCTCCAACTATGGGCAAGTGCACATTCTCTTTAAAAGCCGCGTTATTCTCACAGTCCCAAGCTGGCGGTGTTAAGAGGGGAGACAGACTCCATTGAAAAGGTGCCATTTTGGTTTCAGTTTTGCATGCTCCCTGCCCGTTCTTCTCATGCTGTTTGGCGGGGGTGGTGGTACGTATCGCCCCCTTTGCCAGAGCAAGGGAGGGTCAGTAGTCAGTAGCCAACAGTAAGTAGTAAGCAGCAACTGGTAAGTAATCGTAGTAGTCGCAGTAGTCATAGTAGTCGTAGTAGTCGTAGTGGTCGTAGTAGTCGTCGTAGTAGTAGTAGTCGTGGCAGTAGTAGTAGTAGTAGTAGTAGTAGTAGTAGTAGTAGTAGTAAGGACAAGAGAAAAGTGGAGCAGGACGAGACCGGAAGGATTAGGGTGGAAGAAAGAGACGTAGAAAAGCAGAGGAGCAGAGGAGCGAAGCAGAAAAAAAAAAAAGCAGAGAAGCGGAAAATTTCAGAAGCAAAAACAGACACGATTTCAAAGCCGCAAGCAAACACAAGCAGAAGGCAAAACGGCCAAACAAGATCCAAGCGTAGAAAACCAAAAAACACAAAACAAAACGATACAATTATAAAATACAAACATCAGATGTTTGTTGGCAAACGCCAAACCCAAAGGAAGATCGCGGGGATCCTGACCTTCAAGAACATCCCGAGGAAATCCCACACCCGAAGAAAAACATGTTGAGTACCAAACCTTTAAAAGGACATGTTGGCTGGTAAACCTTAAACTCGAAAAGAAGATCGCAGCAAGCAAGTCCCCAAACTCGATCTTGGTTGAATCATCGTGGATGGCTGGCAACGCCCAAGATTGGGAAAACCTAAACATTGAAGGAGATGTTGGATGGCAAACCCCAAACCCCAAAAAGATTGCGACAAAAACCTAAAGAACATTGTGGGTGGCAAAGCCCACACCCTAAAAAAACATAATGCTGATTGCTAAACCTGAAAAAAAGGGCATGTTGCTTGGCAAACCCTGAACCCGAAAAGAAGATCGCCGGTGGTAAATCCCCAAACCGAAACCTTCACAGATTTGTGGCTGGCAACGCCCAAACCGAAAAGAAGATGTCGAGTGGCAAACCCTGATCATTAGAAGGGGATGTCCCTTGGCGAACCCCGAAACATCAAATGGAAATCCCAAACCCCAAGAGAAGATCGCGGCCAGGCCCAAACCGAAAAGAGGCTGCAGATTGGCAAACCGTAAACACTAGAAGGAGATGTCAATTGGCAAAACCAACACCCCAAAAGAAGATCCTGGAAAATCCCACACCCTAAAGTAAAGATCCCGGGCAAAGCCCAGACCCTAAAAAAAAACAACCACATGCTGGGTCCTAAACCTTACGAAGACATGCTGGTTGCCAAACTCTAAACCCGAAAAAAGATAAACCCAAACCGGAAAGGAGCAGGATGTTGGTAGGCAACGCCCAAACCTAAACAAAGATGTCGCTTGGCAAATTGGAAAGCGATGTTGGTTGGCAAACCCCAAACCCTAAAAGGCGGCCGTAGAGAATCAAAACACTAAAAGAAAATCCCGGGCAAAGCCCACACCTTAAAGAAACAATGCGTTGGTTGCTAAACCTCAAACCGACATGTTGGTTGGTAATCCCTAAACCCGAAAAGACTTAAAGAAGATCGCCGGTGGTAAATCCCAAAACCGAAACCTTAACAGCCCAAACCAGAAAGAACACGCCGACTGGCAAACCCTAAACATTAGAAGGAAATGTTGGTTGGAGAACCCCAAAGCTCCAAAAAAAGATCGTGAAAAAGCCGAGACCCAAAACTAAAATTCTGGGCGGCAAAGCCCACACGCTTAACAAAAACAACATGTTAGTTAACAAACCTTAGAAGGACATGTTGCTTGGTAACACTAAACCCGAAAAGAAGATCGCGGGTGGCAAAAACAGTGAGATACTGGATGGCAAACCCCACATGGGCCCAAATACCGTTGCGGGTCTGCAGGGCTCTGGCAGCGAAAGAAGCAGAAGCCACACAGCTCTTTCGCAAGGTGCAACCCAATTGCCAAGCTAGAAATGAATGGAGAGCTCTCATTTACAAGCCTCGTTCTTTTAGGCATGCTGCGCTGACGAGCCTGATTGGAGGTCGCTTTCTGAATCGGTCCTCGGTCATTTTCCCAGTCTGTTTTCGATGCAGCCTGCATTTCTGAATCTGCCAGCCTGGCTTTGCAAATCTGTGTTCCCCGTTTTCAGGAACTCTCTACCCTCGCTCCCGAAAGTCATTGAAAGCATGCCTGAACAGAGTAGCGATTTGCAGCCGTGCAAGAGGCCATAGGTTCACACGGTTGAACAATACTCCTGCACCTTCTGAACCAATGCAGGATGCGATGAAATTGAAATCACGGAAACATCAGAAACCCTCGAACACCCATCACTTGAGCTGTCCGACAGGAGTGTCTCGGATGCGGGTTTGAACTGATCACTCTCCTGGTAGGCCCAGAGGTTCCAAGATCCCATCTTCGTAAACGAAGAAAGCTGCTCCATAGGTCCAGGTGATCGGAACGATCACCGTCACAAAGAGCTTGAACGGCACCAGGAAAGCATTGAACCACAGCGCAATGAGCGAAAAACATATGAGCACCTCAACAGAAAGAAACGCTAGAGCCGCTACCCAAACATGGCACAGCACCAAAGTAAGACCTGCCCACAGCTCGCTGAGACGAGGACGCAGATCAAGAAGCATGTTGGCAATGCTGAAGAGGTGACATTGATCAGGTCGGTGACCACAGAAGCAGGTGAAAACATGAAGTACCTCAGCGAACACCGAAAGAGAAGCAGATGCCCCGAGTCCCCTTGCTTGGAAAGTCGATGATTAAGTAGTCTTCGAGGTCTCCGAGATTGGAACTTAAGGCTGGGTCCTGATGCTTGGCAAAATCCTGGTTGGACATCGCCGGGGCACCGCAGCTGAGGGATAGTGGCACGTCCACGGAGCTGCATCTCTTGCAAGACCTGTGCCACCTGAGCCTCGAGCTTGAAGGCCTGCGGTCCCAACGGGTCCATGACAGGGTTGAGCACCGTCAGCATTGCGTTCTTGCGAACCATCTCTTCCCACATGAGGTCTAGGTGCTCCGACGTCTGTGTCAAGAAGACATTCCGGGCCAGAAAACTCTTGCGCACCAGGTTCATTTGACTTAAGCTTGGACAAACAAGCTGTCCGAAGACTTCGTTAAACATGCTTTTTGCAAATGGCAATGGGGAGTGGATGTAGCTCTTGTCGATGGGGACACTTGGACTTTGGAAACTCTTCGCTCCCAGTTCGTACGGAGTGCCCTCCGTTCTGGCTATCAACGCACGAATCATCTCGCAGTTCAGCTGGAACAAATCTTCATTAACAAGCGGCGCCGAAATGGTACCGGCGCTTTCTGCATCGGATTCCACCGCATTGGTGGCAAATATCAGGATTGGCCTCGATGCAGAAAGACACAAAGCAGTGCCCAGTATGCCGAATGTCCGAAGCCGAGCAGCATGAGAGTCATCTCGAAGTCAAAGTCCTGTCGTGAGACATGCGAGATATTGAAAGTCTTTCTGAATCGGTCTCTTTATGGCTCCTGCATGATCTCAAGACTGGTGTTGAAGGCTCGAGAGCCTCGAGGCATTGTCATCTCGAAGCTGTGGCCCATTTCCGTGAATCTGAGCACAAGAGTCAGGAAGCACGAGAAGCTGTGCCACTGCTCATGTGAGGCAGAACCTGAGAAGCCCGCTTAAAATTTAGAACATCGAAGTTCTGAAGGAATCTTGAAGTTAACGGCATCATGAGCCCATAGACAGTCACAAAGGCGACGAGATTGCAGGGAAAAGCCGTGAGAATCTTGCCGAGGCAGTAATACGGCCCTTTGCGGAACTGTTCAACGCGCCGCATGGCCTCACCTGCACCACTTGCAGGTGAGTATCCGTGAGCTGGTCAAGCGAAGTCATGCAGCGCAGAGAACACCGTACACAAACCCGAAGCATGTCAGTGTGCTTCGTACAGACCATTTTAGAGGAGCTCTTGGTGAGTATGCTTTTAAGCTCTTCGTCAGTGCCCAAGCTGTGCTGAGACGGGAAGCGGATGGTCTAGACAAGCGAAGCTCACATGCAGATTGAACTCAGAAGGCATGCCCGGTCCTGTTGGGCTCAAGGGCTCTACCTCCGTGGGCACCCCGGCATCTGGACCCAGCCACGGCAAAATTGCCAAGACCGGAGCCACGAAGGTGAGCTGAGCTAAGACCTCGAGTCGAAGACCGCGAACTGTCATCCCAAAACATGAACACTGACACAGAACACAGCGCAAAGCATAGCCCTGAGCAATCGACACAGACCATGATCGCAGAGGCGGCAGCGATTCCAAAGGTTTTGAACATGTCGGGCAGACCGAGCATCACCGACCAGCAAATTGACAGAACAACGCCTCTGCAGGAAGTGTACACTTGACTCGGTGCAAACTTGAGCAATTGCCGCTTACATAGCATCTCTACTTGCCTGATACAACGACGATGCTGCCACTGGTCGCTACCATCTGTATAACAGCCTCCTCGACCGATGCACCAGCTTCCCGCTCAGTCTTGTAGCGAGTCAGCATGAAAAGGGCATAGTCCCAAGATAGCGCCATGATTAGCATCAACATGATCATAAGCGCGTAGTAGCTGATCGTCATCCCCGCACAGGATACGAAGTACATAAATCCAAAACCGACAATAATCTCAAATAACATGGGTGTCAGTGCCAGCAGAAGCAGTCTTGCACTTCTCAACACATAGCCAAGAATAAGAATCGGAAGCCCAACTGTCTTGATTTCGTGCAGTACAAAGTCCAAGATGGAGACCTGAAGCTGAAGAAGCAGGTAGCACAGTGAGGTGCCTCTTCTACACAAAAACTAGAAGAACCAAGAACAAACGAAGCAAGCGCATGTTCAAAAGACGCCTTCTAGGCCAAACGGCTTTCATTTCATGGTCCAAAATGATATTACCTGTCAGCTTGACTTCCATCGCACCTTCACCGCCGAACTCATCTATAGACTGGATAAATTCACGTAGTTGAACAACGAAGTCTTCCGCGTGCTGTTTCAGCTGAACTGGAATTGACCACGTCCACATCAGCATAATGCTCTGATGATCTTTGGACTTGAAGGGATTCAACAGCTGATGATGCCCAACAAAATCAAAGAAGGATTGAAAAGAAACCGCGGAGGATGGATGCTCGTAGCCAAATCTTAAAACTCGATCTTTGATCTGCTCGGCGTAGACTTCTGCCACGTTGTTGCTTTGCACATCGACACACCAGGTCTTGCACTTCATCACCACCTCGGCATGGGAGCGTTTTTCCGGTGACAGCCAGATCGGAATGGACACAAATGGACACAATGCCAGACTAAGCCACCATCTCCAGCCGCTTCGTAGATGCACTGTGAAACTGCCTTTGCGGCACCAACCCTCACCCGGGAAGGATGAGATTGCGTCAGCATGAGGTTCGACAATAGGCAGGGACGTGGCAACTTCGATGAACCAACTAGAAGTATATTCGGACGGTATCGTAAACTTCGTAAACGTTTAGGGGAAGATTTGGAAGTTCTGTGCAACACACGAAGCTCCTCCTGGGAGACATGCACAGCTGTGAGTACTGGTATTTTGCGCAGGGGTGTTCGACACAACGCATCAACGTATCAACACAAGTTCAAGTTTACTATTGACAACCACCTTCCGGACGGGCACTGCTGACCAAGCTGCAAAGAGACAAGATGCTGCCCAAAACACGCAGACATCTTAAGACCCTAGGACAAAGGTGCGAGACCGGAAACTTGGCCGTCAATTACAGGCAACGAGCCAAAGAAAAGAGTCCTTCCAATTCCTTTGTCCCTTTGTCCGAGCGTGTTGCACTTCGGCACTTCGTGCACATGGAAACGAGACAGTCATGAGCATGAGCATTCCCATTGGAATGCTATCGGCATGTTTGAGCCAAAAAATGATTCATTGATCCATTTCTTCCTGGCACAAGGGCCCGGAAAGATTTGACCTTGCACGTCTACTTGCACCCAGAGGTCCAATTATGTCCAATTTGGATGGGCGCACTGCATGAAATCTCTGCAGCGTCTGCGATGGGATTCTACTACATCCCGCGAAACAAAATCCAGGACCGTGTTGCGAGTCAAGCACTTCCATAGCTGCCGCGCTCTGCGTGCCGGCTGGAGGTGTCTTGTCCATGCCAACCTCGCAGCTGTCCGGTTCTTGTGGCTCCGGCTGCATCTTGGGGCACTTTTTGCGGCTCGGCGACGGTGCGTCGCAGCACCAGCACCAAGGCTGGAACGGTGAAGATCAGTGATGCCACAATCCACGTGGCGACGAGGCAGAATCGATGTCTGTACACGTTCCGCGCAACAACATACATGCACGCATCCATGAAGCTTGTTTCCTCAGATCTTGCCGGCCCGCACATGCTTTAAAAGGCTACACTCGCTCCAACATCCGAACTTGCCCTGGGATCTTGGAAGAAAAGACACTTGCTTTGCAAGCGTCATGCTCTGGACGATCCTTGTCCCGCTCATCCCAATTCTCAACATGGCCATCGGACATTGCCCGAAAAAGTGCAAATGTTGATAGATAGTGCTAGTGGCATGAGCTTATGAAGTGTCTGGGTGATAGTTGCTGTACGAATACAAAAGACAACAACAACATGCAGCAGCTATTTCTTCTTGCGGCATGTCAGCACCGTATAGTATAGACTACTTTGAGTGTTTGGGCCCAAGTGCCATGTTCTGCTCGTGTTGCTGCACACTGAATTAAGAGCTTTGAGGAAAGCACAAACGAGTCCAAGACAGGCTTGTCCCACAAGCACACGTGCCACGAATGCGTGTGGATGAACACAGGGGCGCACGTCAGGGAAGCTTGCAGCTGCCATGAGTCCTTCAGAGATTCCACTTAGCGGCGGATCCTGATAGAATATGAAGTATAAAGACAGCAGTCTCCTCATGCCCAGGCACGCATGGCTGAACTTGACTATCTGACTGAGATTGATCGCGAAGCTAGGTATTGGCCCAACTGCATCGTACAGCACGAACATGAACAAGATAACACAACTTGTCCTCGCTGATGATTTGCCAATTCCCTTGAAGGTACAGCAGCGATTGAGCCAAGATAACCCGGCAGGTGGTTGTGCCGAACGCAGTTGTCGTAATCTCAAGGAAATGGCCAGAGATGTGGTCCTGCAGGGGCCGAGACGCGGTACTTCACGTCTTTGGCTTTGGGCTTATGGCGGTCGCTGTCATCTAAGATGAACTGCACCTCGCAGAAAGGAAGCAAAATCATGTCAATGTCATCTGCTGGTGACACGAGGCTGCGAGGCGACCTACCGGCACGCCTCCATTCTCTTGCCGTCCCCAGCACATACGTAGTCGGAAGGAGCGCCATCCACAAATGCCCTGCGAGAAATCTGAAACCGTAAGCAACAAAGCTCGCTACTGGCTGCTTGCAATTCCTGCTACTGGCATGATCCGCAAGAGAATCCATCCACTCAGCGAATTTTTCAACTTTACTACCTCTTGCCAGCTCTGCATACAATGGCACCTAGGTGTCTTCAGGAAGCGGGAAGGCCTGCCTGAACTTACACAAGGTGGGACAGGCAGATGTGCTGGGAAGAGACGGTGAGACATGGTGAGATTTCTGCAACCCCTCGTGGCCTTAGGCCCGAGGAGCCAGCTGGGCTGTTCGTTTACACATCTTCTGCCCGTCGTTCTGAAACATCCGGGCGTACAGAAGCACTGACAATATGAAGAGAACTAATCACTGCTCAGCCGGCAGTACCTCCCTCCACGGGCGCAGAGGAGCGGTTCCCTCCGACGATGATGTGCGAGGCATCCTGGCAGTCAGAGTCAGCGTCACTCCAGGTACATAACCACAAGCCCACATAGTGCATAGGTCGAAAAACTCGCAAGAAGCTCCATTGAGTCCCTCTGGAAGGAATTGCCGCGGCCGAAACCGAGTTTCGGATCATCGATGGGAGGCAACCAGCCGTAGGCCTGACATTCTTTCGCGCCAGAACTGAGACATGACTTTTGCATTCAATTCCTGCCTGAGAGCTTCTGACCATCCAGCGAGTTCTCAGGGGCACGGAGCAGCGTTTTCTCATTGCCTCGTTTGCAGGAACAACTCGGATGAGCTGCGAGGAAAGCTCTCGAAGCCTCGGTGTGTCTGATGTGGAAGGTCTCCTGCAAGACACAATGTCTTACAATCTCTGCTGAGGCTGAGCCGCGAGAGGCTTAGCGTGGACCGGCCTTAGGATTCTTGGGATCGAAAACAGAGTTGTCCTGCAAGGCATGCATTCCGCACTGACGCTTACACGCTAACATTCTCACTGTCAAACCTTGAGCTGGTCGTAGGTGAAGCCGTGCTCCTGATGCTCCGCACTCCAAGGACACTACGGAAATGATCCACGTAACATGTGTGCATCGCAGGCCTTGGACACCGGATGCCTTTCATCCCTGAAATAGCCGAAGTAAGCCTCAGATCTATCAGCAGCTTTCACCCGACTTCTGCTGCAAAGCAACAGTCACTGTCTTTGCCCATTAACATGGATGCTGCACAAGCACAAGCAGCTGAGTCCATTCCACAAGTAATACAGCGTTCAATGCAAAGCTGACTGAATCAGCTCTTGACATTAACTTAGCCGTTACATCGACTTACAAGTAAGTGAAAGCTTGAGTTATCATCTTTGCAGTTTGCAGCTTGCAGTTTTCGGATTCGCTTCTGTAGACCTTTGATATTTCCAACGATAGCATGGCAGTTCCTGGCAGTTTCAACTTCACTACCGCAGTGCTCCTATATCGCTCGCCACAATTAAGTTGTGTCTTGTGCTCTTCACGATGTCTGGCAGTCTGTGCAAAGACCAAGCAGGACTTGCTCTTACCTTTGTCATCTGTACAAGAGAGCTTTCTGGCTTGGGAAGATATCCCAACTTGGGCAGCTGCATTTCTGACCTTGTGCAGGTCGGGCAAGGAGGCGCATCGCTTTGTTGCGTCGGCATAAGTAAACTTGAGCTCCGTCTGCACCTCTGCACTTGACGTATCTATACCCTCTTGCAGGTTTGCAGGCACCGACCTTGGTCTTGAAGGCCTCGCACCTGGCGGCAAACGCTTCTGCACTTCAAGTGCTGCACTTTGATCAAGGAAAGGACACACGGCTCGGGCATGTACTCATCTTTGGTCATTGGCGCCGGGACCTTTGCAAGTGGAATCCTGAGTAGCAATCGAGAAGCGCAAGGACTGCCTACTCGAAACAGACCGTCGGACTCAATCCAAGAAGCTTCATCGCGGCCTTTGCAGCTTCTCTGTCCTAAGAATATGGAACTAATTACTCCGCTAGGGGACTCGAGCCAAGTACTGCGGAGGTGCACATGATCTATTCAGTTAATCTCTTCTCTAAAGTACAGGTGGTCAGATAGTTGGAACTTCGAGCCCGAGTGCCGCTGTGTGACCTCGACGAGCATTCCTTCTCAACCGTGTCCACGGCGTCATTGCCCTCAGGTTGACGGGTGTCCTCCAGCTCACAAACTCCTGGAAGGCACAACGTGATGGTCGCCAAGCTTCCGCCGCCGGTTCCTCTTGACTGCAAATCAGACACGACATCCTGAAGAAAGTGAAGCGTTCCGACAGGTGGAACTCCAAGAGCTTGACATGCTGCGCCTGCCCTTCTGATAGCTTGCACCGCTGCAGGATCAAGCGTCAATCCAAAGGGTCCGGCACACCTCTGCAGAGTTAGGCGTCCCTTTGGACCCGTCTCAGAATCAGAGTTCTCGTCAGGTAGGAAAGGCATCATCACGTCCGTCCAATCTATCTCCTGCACGCTGCATCTGCAGCGCGGACAAGTACACTCGAACCGCCAGTCTTGCTGCAGCACAACCTTGCGAATGGACGTTGGCGCCATTAGCAGCCCCGCATCCAGGTAAGACCGCGAAATGCGCTGCCCACATGCAATGTCTGACATGGCTACCAGCTTCATAGCCTGAGCACTGGAGTCCCACTCCACTCGCGCGTTTGGCTGGCAGCTGTGCTCCACCATTGCCAAGGCTGCAAACAATCCGAATAAGAAGCGCACATGGCGTATCAACGGACGGGTATGTTCCGACTCTTCCACTGTTTCGACCCACGTCTCTGCATTGACATCACAGCACGCCCTCCACTGGGATAGAATTGGGGCAACGTCTGGACCCAAAGCTTCTAACAAGTCATTGGATAAGCATTTCGACAGTCTGTCTTGACCAATCGTGCCAACCAAGCTCGATTCCCGGCTCAATTCTTGCGCAAGCTTTTGCTTCTCAGAGTCCAAGCTCACATGCAGGCAAAGGCAGCCGGCCAACAGATCATCCATGGCATCCAGCTCCTCTTCTTCACTGACACAACAAGCCTTCGCTAACCAGATTCCATCAGAAGACCCCAAGACCAAAGGACTTTCTTCTGCCAGGCACTGGCCCAGGGTGCATGCGACTTGCGCTTCCAAGCATCTCCCATGACCTCTCACCTGGCAAAGCCTAAGTTGTTGGTGGCTGGTCTCTAGGACACGGGCTTGGAGAAGTGGCCAACGCTCCATTTCCACTACTGCGCTGGATGTGCTCTGTCAAAGGACATTGACACGAGCTGCACCAACGCGAGGCTCACGTGCTTGAGGCCACTGGATTCAAGGCAACATCAGCAGATTCTGCAATACATACAGTTACATAGGACACATCCTACGAGACCATCGCCTCTGCGTGAAACGGAAAGGAACGCCTACATCACGAAACCGCGTGGCCTCCAGTGGACGAAGATATCACGATCGACCTGAAAACAGCAAGCGGATAACCGATCAAATTGTGACATAACTTCAGCCCTTGTTGCTGTCGCAATATCGAACGCAAACATGTCAATCAACGCCTCGTCGCACACAATGAAGCCCCAGCCATTCTTTGGGCAGAACGTCTTTATGTACCTGTTCATGCGAGATTGCACGGCATTTATGGGTTTATGGACATACAGCTTGTTCTCGATGGGGGTTAAGAAATGGCGGCATGGACACGATCCTCGCACACTCGATATGGAGTGGGAAGAGCCGCAATGTTTGCAAGCACAACCGAAGCTTACACATGTGGTTTTGGCTTTTGCTCCCTTTGCAGTTCCAAAGAAGTGACTGCATCGACTACCTGAGAACATCGGCAAAAATCTGGGAGCCACACCCGGCATGCGAAGCAGCAGTGGAACTGCGGCCAACCATGACACCAGTGCGAGTCAACTAATCGTACAGACCATCGTTTTGATGTTGATAGTTAACTTGCACTGTCATTTACAACCCGCTTGTGTGCAAGCGCAGACACACACACACACACAAGTGCACATCACGCCCAAACGCACTCTCCACATTACAGACAACTGGCATTCTTACAGAAAAAGAGTACGTCTGCCTTGAAGTAATAGCTGTGCTGCGACCATAAGAAACCATTCTTGCTGTGGCAGTTGTGGCTTCCCTCGGAATGTGTTGAACATGTGCAAGCATTGTTGAATTAGTTGTTTGAATGCTGCTGCTACTGTTGCTGCTGCTGCTACTACCGTAGCACAGCCATGTCTAATCATGTTTCTTCTGCCGACTTGAGTGAAAAGCAAACGCTGCGCACCGAACTAAAGATGCTGCAGCACCCGCAGACATTCCTGCATACAAAACCTTAAACATGTTGAACATGAACGAGCCCGTAGCTGTGCTGGAACGATGAGAATACGAAACACCTGCGTTTGACCGTCATCTTGCAAAGCGAGATCCAACTGGGAATTTCAATGCCAAGCCGTTTGTCATGCAGCATGGACGTTGGTGCAACGAAAAAAAAAAATGGTATGTCTGTTGAAGATTGAGCTTAAGGATTGAAGCGATGCATCTGTGACAATCAAATAATGACTTGGGTGAGGGAGTTGCAAACTTTGACGAATCTGTTGAAGAACATGTTCTAATACATGGAAATTGGAGTCTCGAGTTCAAGATGCCAAACTCAAGAATCTGAAAACCAAAAGTCGTTTGCAAACTGATGTTTTCTTACATGCAGTCTTTTTCCATTTTCAAAAATTCGAGGGATCTCGCATCTAACAGTTTCACCTGGCAGCCCTGAACAAAACTCCAAACTCTAAATTCTCAACTCTCAACCCCAAAACTTGAAGAACAACGGAAGTCTGTGCAAGCATCAAAGCTTGAAACAACAAAACCCACCAAAATACTTTCTCCAAACCACACGCAAATCTTGTCTTGGACTCCGACATGTTTTTTTTCATTCTTTTTAAACTCCATCGTCCTTGTAGATCCTGCGAAACACAAAATGGCCGTGCAGATTGCAGATGGTACGTTCGTCTGACATCAAAGAAAGCAAAGAGACACAGTAAAAATGGAGTTCAAAACGAAACACAAATCCACAAAAGTTTGGTTTCTGGCTGTTCCAGTTTGAAAACATCTTTCATCTCCAATATGAGCTATGAGTTCAGTCCAAATGATGTTTCGAGCAGAAAGCTCGAAAAATGCATTTGGCACGGGTTTTGGAGGCTTTAGAAGCTCGATTTCGGTTTCGTGGAGGCTTAGAGCTCGATTTCAAGAGGTTGGGCAAGCTAAAGCGTCGGCGAATGCGTTTTGCGTGGATTTGGAGCCTTAAGAAGCAGGAGCACTGGCAAAGCTGAAGTGCGTTTTCCAGCTTTGAGACATGTATTAATCCGGCGGAGGCAGGTTCGGTTCTGCGATAGATTCCTGCAGGTTTCGAAGCGGTTCGGGCTTTTAATGCTTTTTCAAGGCAAACGCAATGAAGCTGCTTCAGCTTTGCTTGCGCTCTTGTCGCCCAGAAGAAGACTGCAGTCGTTGAGAGAGAGATAAAGCTTTCAAAGAGCGGACTTCGACAATAGCTGGTAGGAAGTCTCTGCCCACCAGAGGTTCGACTCCACACTGGCAAGAGATCTTCCTGCAAGCTTTGCAGCGCCAGTTGCAGCTCCACATGGCTCTAACTTCCATCTAGAACCGCTATTGCACGTTCCAGCTGCAGGACTCTTGCTGCAAAAGCCATTCTACATGAGCATTCTTTAGAAATTCCACTGGAGAAGTTTCTCTGCCAAAGATGTTCTATCCCAAACCGAAATCGAGCTTTCTGCAAGTCTTTCAACCCGCGTCAAATGCATGTGCTTGGCTTTTCAGCAGATCTGGAGCTCTCTGCCACCCTTAAAATTGAAACTCTGCCACAAATGCTTCGGTTCCACGGATTTCCAATGCATTTTTCAAGGCTTGGAAGAGGCCCATTTAAGAGCTTTTTGCGCTTCTATCGCACCCCAAAGCACCAAATGCGTTTTCCGAGACTATTGCGTCTTGAAAAATGCATTTGGAGCTTCCTGGAACTGACCCAGATTGCACTCTCCGAGCTTGGAAGGTGGAGGAAAAATTAGAAAAGGGACTCTAGAGTTTTAGGGGAAGGATTGCTTTTTCATTTTCTTATTTTCTGTTTTTAAACTTGTTTCTGTCTTTCTCTCTCGTTTTTCCCTCTCTATTCTCCTATTTTCTTCCCTTAAATTCGCCTCTCGTTTTCTACGGTTTTCCCCTCCTCACTCGTTGTTTTCGTCTCTTTTTCCCACTCCTTCTTGACGTCTTCTTCGTTTCGTTCTTCTTTCCTTCTCTTTCGTTTTCCCTCGTCTTTTTCTTTTTGAAGTCCTCGTTTTCTTATCAAACTACTTTTCTATTTTCTCAGGTTTATCCCCCTCTCCCTCGTTTTTCCTTTCTTTTTCTCTTGAAGTCATTGCTGTGGTTGTTTCTTGCTTTTTTATAGGTTAGTTAATTGAATACTTCATTTAAATATTCATTTATATCATCTAACTCAATTAAATATAAATCATCACCAATAAGTTCCGTTAAATAAATAATTATAATCGTTCTCATTAACTTTTTAATAGGATAGGTTTTATTGTAATAGTCAATCTCATAATCTAAATATTCTCTTCTAAAAGTTTTTCTTTATTATCAATGAATTTAATCAATCTTAAACAACTTCTTCTTCCACAAGTAAAATTAAGACTTGATTTTATAATTTCATTAAAAGTATTAACAAAGTGGTCATCGTATTTATCAATAAGCTCTTTCATTTTTTTATTTTATCATTCATTTTATCATTATTCTTAAAAGGTTTCTCATTAAACATATTAAAATGAGTTGCTTGTAATTCAATTTTGCTTCTGTTTTCATAGTTTGTTTTTATCAATCTACCCTCACTTTCTAACATCTTGGAACATGTCTTACAACATACAAAAGATAGAATATTATCACTAATGACATCAACAAATAATTTATCAATAATTTCTTTCCTTTCATCTCTCTCATTAACACACACTTCACACATCTCATAATTAAACAATCTCATATTTCCCCTTACTATACTAGGGTATTATTTCTTTAAGTCATTTTTTAACATTATATTTACAAATTCAAAGTCTTATTTATTTGTTCCTTCATTCCTTCTTCATCGCATAGGTCTTTATACTCATTAATTAATGCTTTAAAATATTTATTAAGAAAGACTTCTAAAATGTCTCTTCTTATCTTGAATGATTTATCTCTAAAGCGATAGTTGTAATTTCTTAATCATTCTTTTCTTAATATAGATATAATCACATTTTGGACAGTTAAGATTATAATTATAAATCATTTCGCAAATATTAGCAGGTAAAACCTCGTATAACTTAACCTCAACATTCTTGTTATTTATCTTACAACACTGACAATTTTTATAATTAATCATCTCCATAATAAATAAGGATTTTTTTCTTTAAGTCTTTTTGGGGTAGGTTTGGGGTTCAGAAAAATATTTTTATGTTAATCAATTAACAGCAACTCGTGTCTGTTTTATTTCTTGCTCTGTCGTTCAACAACATTCTATTTATTAAGTTGCATATCTCTTTTAACAGCATTAACTTTATATGTTCTGTCGCTCCACTGGTTTCTTGTTTCTGTTTCCCTTCCCCGTAACAAATGTTTTAACTTTGTCTTCTTCTTCTATCTTTTGGTGTTTCATTATACTTTCTTAAGACTGGTGGTAATAATATTGCCCATGCTCCTTTCGTTTTGTTCGCTCTGTCCCCTATCATCTTCTTTATCGTGCGAATGCTTCTCTCCGCTACGTTCGCGTGTGTTAGTGTTGTCTTATGTTCTATTTCCTCACCTCTTAAATAATCTTGTAGTTTCTTATAAGTAAACGCTTCGTCATCATCGGCATAAAAAACCTAATATTTTAAAACACTCTAAGAAAGCATTATAAACAGTCTTACCGTCTCTGTTCTCCATTGAAACAACCTCGCATAAGGTACTGAATAACTGTTATGATTCTTATAGTTCTCTTGTTGCTGATTAGGTTGTTTTTGAACCCATTCTCTCACTTTATTCAACGACACTCCTGCTCTTCTTCGTTCGCTTGCTTGTAAAGACTTTGGACGCTTCCATACCCCGTTCCTAAATCATAATAAAGTCTTTCCAGAATTTCGTTTTTGCTAATAATGGAAAGCGATGCATTGTTGTATATGATAATACACGGTCATAAATCATAGTTAATATTAATTTCTAGCTGATATTAATTGCATGTCCTAGTAAAAAGAGACTGGAAACCCGCAAAAGGAGAAGACCGTAAAGCTGTGCGTGTTCCAAGAAAAGGCTCGACAAGACAAAAAGTGAGCTCAATGATTGTTAGGGTCGTGAAAAAGCTGCAACGTTCGTCCATTCCGGCTTGAAATCATGTGGGTGGAACGCTCAGTTGTTGACACCCAAAAAGCGTTCTTGTAAAGCGTTACTTTCTGCGATTGAAACTTAAAAACGCTCGTACTGGGCAAACTGGAAGAACGTCAGTTTTGAACTTTTTCTTTGTTGGCGCCTGAAGAATTCTTCTTTTGTGGAAAGAACTCAAGTTGCCCAGTTGCCTCCGAGCGAACCGTCGACCTTCGAAAGGCTTGGAAGGCTTCAGAGGTCTCGTCGAGGAAGGGTCCCGGGAACCGGCCCCCGTTATTCACTCGTGATGTTGTTGTCGATAAAATGTGTTTGTATTTTGGTGATGTCGGTGATGAAATGTGTTTGCTAATTTTGTGCGCACACACCCAGCTTTTACTTTGTGTTTACAGTACTTTTCGTGATGTTGGTAATTTTTGGGTGATGTTGGAAAAGAAACGTGTTTGTTTTTTTCATGATGTTGGTGGTGATGATGTTGATGACAAGACGAAGCGTAGTTGGTAGGGGGGGTGGCTAGTAGCAATAGTAGCAGTAGCAGTAGTAGTAG